TTTTTTATTTCAGGGCGAAACACGAAGCAGCAATGGATGCTGCCAAAGCTTCAACAAAAGCAGCCGTACGATTAGCGCATGCTACTTTGGCAGTAAACATTTCGTTAATGCTGGCAAAGGTGCGTCTATCACTGCTAGATCGAAAATGTAGCAAAAACTAGAATTTTAGGCACTGGCATCATATTTATCCGGATCATTGTCAATTCTATCATCACTGGTTGATTCATGTGTTGACATCACTTCAGGGCTTGTTATCTCAATCTCAACTAGAATGATAAAAAAGAGAGACCCATATCTGTATCCACGAGGTCGAACGAGACTGGAACCATTGTCTCTAGTAGGTATCCAGTCCTTTTAAGCTTCATATCTTTCTCTTTGATTTCGATCTCTATGTAATTTTCAAAATGGCAATCAATCAAAGTAAACCCATTTCCGGAAATTTCCAGTTCATAGCCAAGAACGTTTATTATGTCATAGCTTCACTTACTACTTTTTAGATTGTTATAAGTGTGGTTATGGGCGTTGCTAGTGTACAACTAATTTTTGGAGCAATACAGCGGATTGCTGCTGCGTATCAGTTTCATTATCACGGTCAGTTATAACTATGTACTCAAGTTGGTTGTTTTTTATCTTTTCAAGAGTTTTTTTTGGGTCAGTTTGGCACAGTCATCATTGAAAAAGTGTTATAGATTTTGAAGGAACGCAATAGGCCACTTTGAGCTTACTTGAATTCAAAGAGAAGGCCTTTGCAAAAGTAGCTGTTCAGTGGCAAGCGCCGCGATTGTGACAGCCTCTATAACCTTTTTTTCAGGAATTGGTGAAGAACCAAGACTGGACGTATCTGTTACCACAGTATGTATCATGGTAGCTACTGTTTTAGTAAAGTTTACATTATTCGTAATATGTCAGAAGTAAGTCTTCTACATTGGTATATAGTCATAAAATTGATGTTTTCCAAGTGCAGATACAAACATGACCCTTCAATAGTGGTGTTAGCCATGGATCATCGTAATGATTGCTTGTCGAACTCGGTGGCACTTGCATGTGCATGGCTAGGAACAATGTAAGTAATCATCTTCTTCCTCACCTTACAATTTG